ATCGGACTTTCCTAGTGTAAGTGATGAAACCCGAGAAACCAGAGGAGGGATTGGTATCCCATTTTGTTATGATCAAGCTGGCGCTTTGGGCGTGAAAACGATTGGGTTGGTTCGGTAGGGTAGAAATCACTTAGACTACTCATGTTTTTAGGAGATCTCCGTAGGTGAATGCGTGACGACGCATTAGTCAATGTGTTTGCATATGATGTATGTTGAGATGTGTTCATGTGCATCTGATGTCTTTTGGGACATGATTGGGTGAGATACATGCTTGGTTGTGATGTGATTAGTTTCATACAAGATATTTGGTGTGTTGTTGTATATGATAGACTTATTTCTATATGTAGATATATTTTTAAACTCTAGCTTACCCTTTCTGTTTCCATGGTGGTTGGATTGCGATGATCATACATTGTATGAGAGCAGATCAGGGCTAGGCTTGAGGAGCTAATGCGGACAGGGATTGTGATTTTGTTTTATGGCGGTACTACTGATGTACCTTGTATAGGTGTGCTTGATCGGCACTAGGATGTAGGATTATTTTGGGATGACTATATATATATATATATATATATATATCAGGTTTATATTGGTTTGATTTTTCTTATATACTCATGATACTTATATGTATGGTATATTCTCTTTTATTAATCTTGCACATTCTAGTAACTTAGCTTCAGTTGCTAGTGTAAGTGATTCCATAGAGTGTGGTGACTATGGCGGGTCATTACAGTTAGTCCAAATGTTAGGTACTTTTGTCTAGCCTGAAGTTTGGGATATGTTGCAGTAAGCATGCAATATATCCAAAAGGTATGCCATTAGGATCTTCTCTAGGCTTTAAGATTTTACCTTTGATGATTTATTATTTGGAACTTAACATGTCTGCAATTTGGTATACTTTTGAAGAATTCAACAATCGAGTTAACTTAAGCATGTGTTTGGATTCACGTTTACTCGACTCGACTCGCAAAAAAAATGTGAAAACAAGAAACTATCATTTCTTGCTTCTGTTTCAAATTCGTCAAAACGTGGATTAGTGACACGAATTCAAACATGCACTAAGCATTATTGATCTAACAATTATCTGTAGTTATATTTCCGAAGTCATTGATGCTGGATTTCTTGGACCTCTTTTCAAGATATCATTTCTGACCTTGTTTTTGTTTTAGGTTTGAAAATGAAATCCTATTGACAAGTTACTCTTTCTTGATAATATTGGAATCCATGTAGTTGACATTTTCAGATGCCAATTCCATTTCCAAATGCATAGCGATTTGAATATATTTAAAGCACTGTTTCTTGGTCTCCAATGTAGATTCAACTTGAAGAATATTTTGTTTAAAATAATGGCAGCCATTTTATTCTAAATTCCTTTATTAAAATGATATATAGTTGTTTGTCTCAACAAGGTGTGTAGTGTTTTGCAGTTGCACAAGTATGCTGTGTTTGCTAGGTTTTAGTGTACTATGCTAAAATATAACGCTAGAGATTTATGGGACAGATTACTCTATGGCCGTGTGTGTTTCTGTTGATGATTTCTATACAGTTTTTGTTTTTCTCCTAGCTTGCAGAGGGATAAGGAGTTATACCATTGGATTCTTCTTCCTTTTTTCCTTTCACCTTCTGTACTTTTCTCCATATAAAATAATTTTTTCCTTCATCTTGAAATATATCATATATTGTGGTTGGTTTATGTGTCGGTGGGATAAACCCAGTGGCTGATAATTTTTCCATGATCAGATGTTTATGTAGTTGCATCATCGTCTCAAATTATTGAATGTCACAAAATAGTGATAATCTTTTGTTTCTTTAGGCTAAGAAACTCATTGACGTCACTATCTATATTTATTAACTGTATCCGAGTTTTCATGGTAGCGTTTATGTGTATTGACATGATTTTAATTATCATCCAGCTCATTTCCATTAATATAAAAGTTTAATGCTCATACATTTTTAATGTAAAATTTTTTATACAATTGAAAAATCATTATTAATATGATTCAAGATAATTATTATAATAATTAACAAACTTACTATACATATTGTAATTAGATGACATCAGTACATGGCCTTCTTTCTATTGATACAAATATTATCTAACAAATCCTTGTCTTTTAGTAACAATATTATGAATCTATGACTAATTGATTTATATCATGAAGAATTGTACTATTAGTGCAGACCACAGAGTCATGACGTGTATAGTAAATTTTTATTAAACAAAATTTAAATTAATAGAGACACGTTTAAAGTCTAGATGTGACATTTTTTAATTCATAGCAACCATCAAAAACAAAAAATTGCTTCGTTTGCATTGATAGAAACAACTTTTGCTGTATCAAAGTTACTGATATGACTAACATATAACTTGTGCAACTTTGCCTGCAAAGAGATTCAGCTCAACATCAGAAATGCTTGCCTAGTAAGATATGAACATTTTATTTACTGTCATTTTCTCATGTGCCATGAAGTCCCTTTTACAATTTGGAATGTTGAATATTCACAGAAAACAATTGAGGCTTTTCTGATTATCCTTTCAGCTAGACAGCTTATCTACATAGGTGCTATCCATGGTGGTGCTGCTTATAGGAGATGAACTTGATATAGTTGAGTGATGTGATGCTGTGTGTGATTTGTCTTCTTTTTCTTTTACATACCACTGCGATGGGTGAGAGTGGTGGGAGAGATCGTTGTGAGAAGGAAGAAAAAGAGAAGGGAATGCAATGGTTTTTCATTTGCATCATGTGGTGTCTTGAGTTTCTTGAGAAGAGAATTGAAAGTAGCTAAGAGAGGCTTTATGTAGCAAAATTAAAACACTGCAAAGATAAGATTTGGGGTGGGGGGTGGGAGTGAGTGTTTCTTAGAGGACAAGTTATTAATAGTTAAGTTATCATATAAATAAATAAGAAAAAAGGAAAAGAGTATATTTCGGTCTGAATTTAATTTATTTTCATTTTAAAGGAATAAAATAAATATATTTAGGACCCATTTGATAGTCGGCATATGATAATTATTCTATTTTTTTTTATAATTCAATTGTTTATTACACTAATAGGATACAATAGTTCTATTCTATCTATGTATTTTTTATACTTAGGGATAATTCGGTTAGGAAAAAACAAAATAAGATAAACTCTCGTCTTTTTTCTATCTATATATATTATGTAATATTTTATTCTATTATATACAAAATAGTAAACAATATATAATAAATATAACATATATAATAATAAATATTGATTTATAAAATATATTATATAATAATTTATATAGAAATATATAATATTATATTATATATTAAAATATATATATAGATATA